GGGGGTTTGGGGGAAGAGGACTTCAGCAGTGTTCCCTCTAAGCTGAGTGAGTGTGAGCCAGCTAACAGTTTTTTAGCCTCCGGCTCACACATTTGTGTCTCAGCTCAGGGAGGATGGCTCCAGGGCAAACTAATTGATGCAGGGGCCAAATCGCTTGCTCACCACTTTAATGCCAGTGGCTCACCAAGTAGAATTTTTGCTCACAGGAGTCCACAGCTTAGACGGAGCATTGGACTTTGGCAGGGTGCAATGTCATTGAGGCCACCTTCCAACGCAGCCGTTTCCTTCAGGCCGGGGAACTGATCTACTTCATCTGGAGATTATCGGCATATGAAATGAATGCACGAGGTTGCAGCTGAGGAAACAGACTCTGGTCTGTGAAAGCCTCTGCCAAAATAAGAACGTGTTCTGTTGAAAAGTGCTGCAACAGACGAACACAGCTCCTTCTTCGGAATGATTTTCCTGAAGCATGCACTCTTGAGCATGTGCAGAGTGTCTTTCCTGCTCCATTGTCTGACAGTGTTCCTTCTGTATATCTGGCAGCCAGAAATCCCTAACAATGAACTCACATGACCAGTCCTCCAAAAGGGCAGGGGGCTCTCGGACACATTCAGCCCCACTGAACAAGCATGAGCAGTTGCTATGGGAGAGTCAGAATCTGTCCAAACATCCCGTCAACTTTGGGAGTATGTCTGAGCCAAGCCACCTGTGGGCAGCTTGATGTAGTGGTTAAGTGTGTGGACTCTAATCTGGGACGACTGGGGTTGATTCCCCACTCCTCCACTTGCAGCTGCTGGATGACCTTGGGCAAGCCGTAGTTCTGATAAGAGCTGTTCTTGAAAAAGAGCAGTTTCTGTCAAGAGCTCTCTCAGCCCCACCCACCTCCCAGGGTGGCTGTTGTGGGGAGAAGGAAGGGGAAGGAGTTTGTAAACCACTCTGAGTGAAGGGCGGGGTATAAATCCAATCTCTCCTCTCTTCTTCTTCTGTCCAGTCTTCCTTCCATAATACTGCAAAGAATATCTCGGCTGTGCACTTTGGAACCCCCTGCCCTTAGTTCATTTATTTATTGGCTAAAACATTTATATCCCACCTGCTGTTCTATTCACGGAGGCTCAAAGTGGGTTTCATTACCTAAGTACTATATTTCCAGGATTTATGCCCTGGGGCATAGCTTTTAAAATTATGTTTTCATTAAGGAGATGAAAGAAGTAATCATCCTCATGTCTCAAGATACAGCAAAACATATTAATTTTCACACATGTGAAATATATAAACAGCCTTTGTACTGAATCTGAGCCATGAAAGAGATGCTAGAGTCATCCTACCTGCCCAACAGAGAGGTCCCAAATACTTCCATCAAGGGCTCCGGTGACCCTTTAGGGGCCTGGAGAAGGTCGGAAGGGACTGTGGCTCAGTGGCAGAGCATCTGCTTTGCATGCAGAGCAGTTCGGTGTGTCCTGGTTAAGAGCGCGGACTCTAAACTGGGAGAACCGGGTTTGCTTCCCCACTCCTCCGCTTGCAGCTGGGTCAATCACAAGTTCTCTCAGAGCTGTTCTCTCAAGGGCAGCTCTTGAGAGAGCTCTCTCAGCCCCACCTACCTCATAGGCAGTGCTCCCTCTAAGCTGTGCAAAAGTCTTGTGAGCAAAAATTCTACTTGGTGAGCTACTGACATTAAAGTTGTGAGCGTGCGATTTGGCTGCTGCATGAAGTAGTTTGCTCTGGAGCCATCCTTCCTGAGCTGAGACAAAAATGTGTGAGCTGGAGGCTAAAAAACTGTGAGCTAGCTCTCACTAACACAGCTTAGAGGGAACAGTGCTCATAGGGTGTTTGTTGTGGGAAGGGGAAGGGATTGTAAACTGCACGGAGACTCCTTTGGGTAGTGAAGGGCAGGGTATAAATCCAAGGTAGTGAAGGGCAGGGTATAAATCCAATCTCTTCTTCAGACAGTCCCAGGATTTTGTGG